TTTACTTCCTTTCACTTGTTTTCACCTTTCTCTTTGGGTTGATGTGGTACGCAGGAATCTGGTTTTGACACTGAAACATTACACATTAAGGCATGCAGGTATTTAAGGCATGTATTAATAAATCAATAGAATATTGCTTTGGTACAAACTCCTTTGAAGAATGTCGGTTTACATACATGCCTATGTTCCATTAAAAGTCAAGTGTGTAAAAATCTGATTTCTATCAAGTTATGCCCTCAAAGAAAATCTGAAACGGCCATCACTTTGGTAAATTTAGCTGTACCATTCAGTAATTTGACTTAGTGGCAAAGGAGACATCACCTCGCCCCTCTAACTATACTTCAGACTCACCCATATCATCTGATGTCATTAACAGATTTGTCACCTTTGTTGTGGTTCTTAATTTTATCATAAATGAAACTCTTTGTAATAAAAAAAAAAAATTGCTGTAATCATATTAGCATGGTACTACCGTTTTACAGTTTTGTACTATTAGCAGGGTATGTTTTCCTTTTGCACCGTCTAAGATAAACCAGGAATGTTTTTTTAAAATCTGCATCTCTAAAATTGCACAAATCACTGAGCAACATGTGCAGGTTTACAATGCTGGTACTGCTGTAGCTAATGGTATAAAAAACATTTTCTTCTAGCCTCCCTTAAGAGTAAAGTGAACCATTTCCATGAGCCCGACGGTATTCACCAAGACAAACAGACACAAAGACAGTTTCTTTCCCCGGGCTATTACACTGATTAACAGCTAGTCTATGTTCTATGTTATTTTAACTTGTACATATTGTGTATTTATTTTGTTCTTATGTTGTGCACATTGGAGGCCATTGAGCTGGAGTCAAATTCCTTGTATTCTTGAAATACTTGGCAACAAAGTTTATGCTTATGCTTATTTTGTATTTGCCACCAGTCTGCAGGGAAAAAGCTGTTGTAAAATCTTGTTCTGTGTGTGATGATACTGTCCGCTCTGCTGTTCTTGAGATGGTGGGTGTAGTTTTTGTGTGTGAGCTGGGTGGAGTGAGTCTCTGATTATGTTCTCTGCTTTTTTGCGACAGCGCTGTGTGGTTATTGGCTCCATAGCAGGCAGTTCAGTCCCAACGATCCCAATTTCCATCAACAAAATGGATAAATAATGCTGCACCCACTCCCAGAAATCAAGATCTGCCCACTTCCGGCCTCTGGAGAACAGCAAAAGTCTGGGATGTGAGGTCTCAAGGTCGCAGAGTGACACCAGAACCTCGGACAGCACATTCACAAGGATGAGGGAGGTGGA